GAAAATATGCTTGTTTGGGGTCCAACATTTCTATTTCTCAATTCAAGACTCTTAAGGACTAGAAATTTGGAAGAAGGGGAATCAAACCGGTGTTGCCTTTTGCAGACCGGATCCAGCCTTCTGGGCAGTGATTCCCAGCCTCCCCTTTGCCCCCAGTTTTTGCCAAATGCACCAACATTCAGCTTGTGCAAGGAAAGCCAAAATGTCTGCTCTTACCTGTATCTTTCTCCAAACCTCAGGTCTGCCAGCGTCTCTCTCTCTCTCTCTCTCTCTCTGGAATGCCGTATTCAGCAGGACCTGTCTGATATACCTTCGCAAGGAGGAAGTTCCTGCCCTCAAAATCTTCTCAAAAACATTAGTAAAAATTCCCCAGCCCGCATTGCGTCATGGCGAGAAAAAAACTTGGCTGAATTTCCGTGCAGAGTTCAAGCTCCGTTCAAAGGCCGGGCAAATGTTGACATTCTCGTTACCTGAAGTGGCTTCCCCAAAAGAACATTTCTTTGTTTTTTGAGGAGGAGAAACTATTTCCTCATCTCTTTTGGAAAACTGCCAGAAACAAACTCTGAAAACAAAAAACCAAAAACCTAGGCCCCAACTTGTTCCCATTTCAAAAGCACGTCATAGAAAAACGGGTTTCCTTTTTTTCTTTTGTCAAAGAAGGATGAATGGATGGGTTCCCTGAACAACTGCACAAGGTAGGTCTCGTTTTATGGTGAGCGTGAAGGCACGGCAGAGGATGAGATGGTGAGATAGTGCCGTTGACCGAATGAGTGTGAATTTTGGCAAGTTTCTGGAGAGAGTGAAGGACAGAGGGGGGCCTGGCATGCTGGGGTCCATGAGGTCGTAAAGATTTGTACATGACCTAGTGATGATGATGATGATGATGATAATAATAATAATAACAACAACAACAACAACAACAACAATAATAAAGTTGGAAGGGACCTTGGAGGTCATCTAGTCCAACCTCCTGCTCAGGCAGGAAACCCTATACCATTTCAGACAAATGGCTGTCCAGTCTCTTCTTAAAAACTTCCAGTGTTGGAGCATTCACTGCTTCTGGAGGCAGGTTGTTCCACTGGTTAATTGTTCTCACTGTCAGGAAGTTTCTCCTTAGTTCCAGGTTGCTTCTCTCCTTGGTGAGTTTCCATCCGTTGCTTCTTGTCCTGCCTTCAGGCGCTTTGGAGAATAGCTTCACCCCCTCTTCTTTGGGGCAGCCCCTGAGATATTGGAAGACTGCTATCATGTCCCCCCTCGTCCTTCTCTTCGTTAAACCAGACATACCCAATCCCAGCAACTGTTCCTTATATGTTTTAGCCTCCAGTCCCCTGATCATCTTTGTTGCTCTTCTCTGCCCTCTTTCTAGAGTCTCAGCATCTTTTTTACATCGTGGTGACCAAAACTGGATGCTGTATTCCAAGTGTGACCTTACCAAAGCATTGTAAAGTGGTATTTATACTTCACGTGATCTTGATTCTATCCCTCTGTTAATGCAGCCCAGCACTGTGTTGGCTTTTTTGGCAGCTGCAGCATTGATTGAACAACAGAGGGTTATGTATATTTGCAGAGGACCTTCTGTGCTAAATAAGTCTTTACAGGTAGGCCTCGACTTACATGTCAAGTAAATCACTAACAAGTTTCAATATAGTAGTGACCTTTTTTCACTGACTATAGGCAAAAAGGGTACATGCTGGCAATGTCGTAGGAGTATCAGTAAACTAATTTTAAGTTTACGAACCGTTGTCTAATCATAAATACTGCTAACGTCACAGGACCCTAGTCCACTAACAAAAAAAAATGTTTGAAGATTGTTCCAAAGTTAATGAGGAAGCCAGATTCTCTTAATCAGCATGCTAATGTAATGACTGCAGTGATTCACTTAATAACCGTGGCAAGAAAGGTGGTAAAGTGGGGTGAAACTCACTTAACAAATGTCTCACTTAGTGACATAAATGTTGGGCTCAATTGTGGTGATAAGTCGAGGACTACCTGTATTTGTTTTTGAAGGGTTTAACTGCTTCAGCTGGGATGATGCATTATAGACAGGGTGATGGTCCTGGTGTTACTTGACCAGAGTTGTGTTCTGTAAAACCTGTGAGATCCCATCCCCTTTTGGGAAGTGTGGAAATCTTGTACATTGGGTGGAAGAGAGCCAGATTCATTTATAATACCTCTTCCTTCCCCTGCGCTTACCACTTTCTACAGAGGGACGATCGAGAGCATCCTGTCATACAGCATCACTGTCTGGTTTGGAAGAATCCCTGCTTCAGACATGAAGGTGGTGTCGAGAGTGGTGAGGACGGCAGAAAAGGTTATTGGTAGTTCACTCCCTTCTATCCAGGAAATGGCATAGAAGTGATGCTTGAGCAGAGTCTGCAAGATGGTCTGGGATGCTGCACAACATCTTCACGACCTGTTTTCCTTGTTACCTTCTGGGAGGAGGGGGCTTCGTGGTGTCCGAAGCAAAACATCCAGATTCAGCCAAAGTTTTGTTCCATACAGTATTAAACTTGTGAACGCTCAAGCTTCCTCTTTCCAGTATGTATTCAAGATGGATAGTGAAGAGACTGGACAGCTATTTGTCCGAAATGGTGTAGGGTTTCCTGCCTGAGCAGGGGTTTGGACTTGATGATCTCCAAGGTCCCTTCCAACTTTATTATTATTATTATTATTATTATTATTATTATTATTATTATTATTATTATTATTGTTGTTGTTGTTGTTGTTGTTGTTGTAGTTGTTGTAGTTGTTGTAGTTGTTATTGTTATTATTATTATGTATTTATATGTAAGGTTGTAGAAATATACATGTCACATATAGCATGTTTATATGTGTGTTATGTACATGTACACGTTTGAGAGCAGGCAACAGAATTTTATTTTTAATGTATGCCAGTGTGCCCATGGTAAAAAAAGTACAATAAAGGTCATCTTATTTACAAAAGTGTTTGCGAGGCACTTAATGGAGAGTACGATTGGGAGGGTCTGGCTCAAGTAAGTGGTTGGCCCAACAGAAAACTTCCTTTACTACTGGTACCTGCATTGAAACAGCTAGAGACCAGGGCAGCAACCTCCAGAATAATGGTTCAGTGGTGTCTGGTGAAATTGCCCAGATGAGATCTATCAACTAGATTAGACTTGGAATCCCTACGTGGTCGCCAAATTGTTAGAAGGAAATTCTGGCTCATTCCGAGCAGCGCTTCAAACAGCACAGGACAACTGCTTGAAGTAGAAGTAGAGTTTATTCAACAGCAGATGAGAGAAGCACATTGGCCCAGTGGCTTAACGATCTTGGAGATGGTCTCTGCTCAAGTGGTTCGAGCCCTAGAATTGCATGGGTTCCTGTATTTGCCTTAGCTTTGGCCCACAAAAGCATGCTTTATGAGAGTAGATACATAGATACACTTCAGTGGGGGAGGCGACTTGATGCTCTGTGTAGGCAGTCAGAATTCTGGGAGTTGAAGTCCATTCAACTGGAAATGGCCCCAAACTGGGAAATCCTGCTGTTCAGGAAGCAGGTGGGGAAAAGATCTACCATGAAAATTTAGCAGGGACAAATTTGGTATGTTTGAAGTGAAATTGCACGTTCACCCTTCAAATGCTTGGGGGAAGCACAGACAAATTCCTCCTTGGAATATAAATGGATGTCGTGATCATTGAGCCATCTTAGAAGATTCACCAGCCGGCAGTCACACGCCCAAGGGTTTCCTGAAAGATCAAGACTGAAATTGGCAGATGGCTCGTGGACCGGAGGATCCAGTGTGGTGAACTCATTGTCAGAGAGGTCCAGCAGCACCAGTTGGTCCAACTGAAAGACCCCCATTATGACATGGGTCAGGCTGCTGTTCTTCAGGGATAGCACACTCAGCTTGGGACGCCAATGGAAGGTCCTCCCCATAATACACTGGATTGGATTGCTTTCCAGAACTAACCTCTCCAAATTGTCTAAGCCACTGAACATCCCTGTAGTGAGGCGATGGATGAGATTGAATGAGAGATCTAGAGACGTCAACTCCTTCAGCTTATCAAAACAAGAAATTGGGATCTCCTTCACCTGATTGTGATCAAGGCCTAGGATCCTGAGTTCCTCCAGGGTTTCAAACCAGGATGGGCGCAGTTCAGCCAGTTGATTTTCACTGAGAGATAAATGAGTTAGGCTACTCGCATTTGTAAAGATCTCTGGAGGTAGATCTTCTAGGAGATTTCTGGAGAGATCCAAGGTGTGCAGTTGTGGGAGGTTACGGAAGAGGCCACTTGGAAGAGTTTTTAACCTGTTGTTGGAGAGGTGAAGTTCCTGGAGGTTGGGAAGACCTTGGAGGGCCTCCACGCCAAGGCTGGAGACTTGGGTGAACTCAACGGAGATCATCTTGGCTCGTGTGGGGAAGCCGGTGGGAAATTCATGTAGAGATGGAGAGTTGCAGACGAACTCGGTGACGCTTTCTGGGGCAGGGGTGGGTGGGCAGTAAAGGACCTGCTGAGTGTAGCTGTTGAGGGACATCACAAGGCAGGCAATCAGAAGAGACGGAGCTGAAGACTTCATCCTGGGGAGAAGCAGGGAGAGAAAGATAAGTGGGCAAACATATTGGTCTATTAAATGCTACCTGCATTTGGGCATCCAAGACAGATTATATATAGTCCTCGCTTAACGACTGGCTACTTAGTGAACATTCAGAAGTACGACAGATCACTCCAAAAGGTACATACAACATGACTTCAAAGTTCTGATGGCCACACGATTGCATTAGAATACATAGAAAAATACATAGTGTAGTAGAGTTGGAAGGGACCATGAGGTCTTCTAGTCCAGGGCTTTTCAACCTTTTCACAGATTGTACCACTTTTAGGACATGACAATATTTGAGTACCACCAGTGTTTAGCAAGGTGTCAAAAACTTGATAACTAAAAAAAAGGGAGGGGGGATTTGGGGTTTTCTGATTAGATTCATTTGTTGTTATAGAAATGGCTAGTTTATAATATTATGGAAAAGTAAAAAGTTAAGGTTCAGTGTTAATGCTTCCTTCTACTGCAACAGAGGAAGTATGTTCTTTTTCCCTTCTCCCCCTCACTTTCCCCCCTTTTTCCTCCCCACCGTGCCCTACTGTATTTTTGTATTTTAGTCTATAATCTAATAAAACATTACAAAGTGTAGAAAAAAAGAAAAAAAAGTACCAGTTTTAATTTCTTCGGTGACTATTCCTTTGCTGAATCCCTTTCCCATTGCACTGACAAATGTATGATGAACTTATCCATGTTTTTTTAATATGCACTACTGCCAGCTAGTTCAGGGGCCTTCAAACCTGGCACTTTTAAGACTTGTGGACTTCAACTCCCAGAATTCCTCAGCCCTCATGGCTGGTTGAGGAATTCTGGGAGTTGAAGTCCACAGGTCTTAAAGTGGCTAAGTTTGTAGACTCCTGAGCTAGCTGGTTGGCCTTCTGATCTCTTCCACAGTGTAGTAAGAATGCACCCCCCCCCAATCCCTTCCCTGTACCCTTAAAGACACAGGAATCAAGTGCAAAGTAAGAAAATAAAATAAACACAAACTCGTTTTTCTCTCTCTTTAAGCTGCCTCAGGCGTGTCACATGTCACAATGTTGCAATCCGAGACTGAAAGGCTCCAGCAATTGCAAAAAGCTTTAGCCTTAAATTAATCCTGTTTACCTTCAAAGAAAACTTTCTAAAGGCCACAGACAGACCCAATTAAAGGGGGCAAAACTAATTACATTTCTTTAAAGGGATTAAAGCTTTCCTGTTGTCTTTTTTCCCATTCCCCCACCCAAACCACGTTCTTTTATAGCAGCGGTTCTCAACCTGTGGGTCGCGACCCCTTTGGGGGTCGAACGACCCTTTCACAGGGGTCGCCTAAGACTATCAGAAAACACATATTTCCGATGGTCTTAGGAATGCTAAATGATCACGTCTCCCCCTTTTCGTCTGAAAGAGCGCCTTGGAGCCCAGGAGGGGCCCCCTAAAAAAACCTTCTTCACCACTTTCTATGTGCCGGCCACAGGAATAGATTTTCTCCGTCAAGCTCTGTCCCCAGCCGGCCTTTCGGGTCTTCCGATTGTGCCCCTTCCCCACTATAGCTCAGTCAGAGCGTCGTCCTCCCTTCCACTATTAGCATCGAGCTTGAGAAACGGGACTTTCCATACTCCAGCAGGGAGGCTCGTGGCGGCAGGACCCGAAGGAGAGAAGCTTCCACCTGTCCAGCTCCTGTCTCATGCATGCCCTCCGCTTGGACCAGCAGCGCTCTCTCTCTCCAACTGAGCTGAAGAAGGGGGCCACGCCTGGACTCCTGGTCTCCGGCTCTCCTCCTGCCAATCCAGGCTTCTCCGGGGGCTGCGAGCGAAGATGTTTTCCCCGCGCTCCACCTCTGAAGGACGCCGGCAAATGGTCTCGCTCCGGGCTCCCGCGGACACAGGCGCACCAGGCTAAGGCCCAGTTCCGCTTCGCGGGACTTCCATGCCTGCTCGTGTATGGCCAGGCAGGGTCTCAGAGCCCGAGTCCAGAGCACACCCACATTCAGACAGCCGCAACGGATACGCGCTCTTGGTCCTCGAGACGCGAAGCCCATCCCCGCGCCAAGACCGAGGACAGGTAGTGCTAAGACCCGGGAGCAGCCCGAGCTTCACGTCGGCGGGGTTGACCTCTAAGAAAGGTCACCTGCGCCTTCCCCTATCACGGGACTGTGCGCTTGCGCACTCGGGCTCCCGGCTCGCCAGGCTGAGGAGCGCAGGCACGCTGCGACTGAGCAACCCAAGGTGGCAGCCGGGTGCGTCTCACTGGCTGGGTTGGATGCCACACATGTAATGCCCTCAACTAGCCATCTTGCATATGAGTCTTTTTCCTCTCCAACTTTAGAACTGGCAATGACATTGTGTCATTCGCCTTCTCAATCCTGCCCCAATGAAAATACATCCTGCATATCAGATATTTACATTACGATTCATAACAGTAGCAAAATTACAGTTATGAAGTAGCAACGAAAATAATTTTATGGTTGGGGGTCACCACAACATGAGGAACTGTATTAAAGGGTCGCGGCATTAGGAAGGTTGAGAACCACTGTTTTATAGCCTCTCCTCTCTTCCCCCTTTTTTTCCTCACTTCACCTCCAGCTGCGAGCTGCTTCTGGAAGCGCCAATCAGCTGGAGCCCTGCCGGCTCCTGGGGCTTCTGCCGAGCCCGGACAGTCCTGCAGCTGCAGCTGCCTCTCTCTCAGGCTTGGCTCACTTCGGCTCACATTCCTCTCCCTTGATACCCTTGGCTAGCAATCGCGTACCACCTGCCACGTGGCAAAGTACCACAGGTGGTACCCATACCACTGGTTGAAAAGCCCTGTTCTAGTCCAACCCTCTGCTTGAGCAGAAGACAAATGGCTTTCCAATTCTCCTTTTGAAGGTCTCCTGTGATGGAGCACCCACAACTTCTAAAGGCAAACTATTCCGTTGGTTAATTGTTCTCACCATTAGGAAATTTCTCCATAGTTCTAGGCTGCTTCTCTCTTTGATCCATTGTTTTCTTGTCTTGCTTCTGGTGTTTTGGAATATAGGTTGACCCCTCTCCCCTTATTTTTGCGGCAACTCCCTAGATATTGGAAGGCTGCTAACACGTCACCCCTAGTCATTCAATCAGAATAGAGCTGGAAGGGACCTTGGGGGTCATCTAGTCCAACCCCCTGCTCAAGCAGGAGACCCTATGCCATTTCAGACAGGTGGCTGTCCAGTTTCTTCTTAAAAATCTCCAGTGATGGAGCATTCAGAACTTCTGGTGGCAAGCTGTTCCACTGGTTAATTGTCCTTACTGTTAGGAAGTTTCTCCTTAATTCCAGGTTGCTTCTCTCTTTGATCAGTTTCCATCTGTTGCTTCTTGTCTTGCCTTCTGGTGTTTTGGAGAATAGGTGGACCCCCCTCCTCCTCTTTGGGGCATCCCCCCAAATACTGGAAGACTGCTATCATGTCCCCCCTTGTTCTTCCTTTCTCTAGATTGGCCATACCCAATTCCTGCAACCATTCTTCCTATGTTTTTGTCTCCAGGCCTTTAACCATCTTAGTTGCTCTTCATTGCACTTTTTTCCAAAATCTCAACATCTCCTTTGTAATGTGGTGACCAAAACTGGACTTAGTATGGCCTTACTAAGGATTTGTCAAGCGTTTGAGCCAGCAATGTATAGCAGCAACCACCAGAAATGCTAATACAATCCTGGATTGTATAAACGGAGGCATAGAATCAAGATCACACGAAGTATTAGTACTGCTGGCTTGTGTTCAACTTGTGGACCAAAAGGGCGGCTTTTTCCGGGCATGGGCTGTGAGAATGCAGATTTGAGCGACACAGAAGGAAATGGCTCACCCCGGAGATCAGTTGGGTAAGAGAACTCTTGAGTCCACAGCAGGAATTGGGGTGGAGAAAGTATATCAGAAGAGACACTCTGTGCTTCTCTGAAGGGAGGGAGGGATGCACGTTCAGACATGCATGTTACTCTTATTGTAACTGTATTGTGACAGGCTCATTCCCGCTTTCCTGGTCTGGACTGCCCTGGAGACTTTGATACCTGCCACTGCCCAGCATTATCTGCAAACTGGATAAGGGTTACATAATAGAAGGAGGTCAGACTAGGTTTGTGGCTGGGGAAGTGTGAGCCAACTTCTTTCCTTCCTTTTCTCCTTCATTTCTTTCTTTCTTTCTTTCTTTCTTTCTTTCTTTCTTTCTTTCTTTCTTTCTTTCTTTCTTTCTTTCTTTCTTTCTTTCTTTCTTTCCTTCCTTCCTTCTTTCCTTTCTTTCTTTCCTTCTTTTTTTCTTTTCTCTCTCCCTCTTTCTCTCTCTCTTCTCCCTCTTTTTCTTTTTTCTCTTTCTTTCTTTCTTTCTTTCTCTCTTTCTTTCTTTCTTTCTTCTTTCTTCCTTCTTCCTTCTTTCCTTTTCTCTCTCTCGCTTTCTCTTTGTCTTATTTTCCTTCTTCCTCCCTTTCTCTCTTCTGTCTTTCTTGTTTCCTTCCTTGCTTCCTTGTTTCCTTCCTTCCTTCCTTTCTTTTTCTTTCTTGCCTTCTTTTCTCTCTCATGCTTTCTCTCTGTCTTCTTTCCCTTCTCCCTCTTTCTTTCTCTCTTCTCTCTTTCTTCCTTTCCTTTCTTCCTTTCCTTCCTTCCTTTCCTTCGATGAAGACTTTTCCTTCAACAAAAGTTTCATCACTTCCTTCCTTTCTTCCTTCCTCTTTCTTTCTTTCTTTCTTTCCTTCCTTCCTTCCTTCCTTCCTTCCTTCCTTCCTTCCTTCCTTCCTTCCTTCCTTCCTTCCTTCCTTCCTTCCTTCCTTCCTTCCTTCCTTCTTTTCTCTCTCCCGCTTTCTGTCTTCTTTCCCTTCTCCCTCTCTCTTTCTCTCTTTTCTCTCTCTTTCTTCCTTTCCTTTCTTTCTTCTTTTCCTTTCTTCCCTTCCTTCCTTCCTCCCTCCCTCCCTCCCTTCCTTAGGGAATCTTAAGAAATTTTCCTAGAAATTTTCCAAAAGCAGAATCAAAGCTGACAGCTTTTGCAGACAGGATTCAGTCCCCTGCGCTACGGTTCCCACCCTCCCCTTTGCCATTTTCCCTTTCTTTCCAAATACACCAACACTCAGGTTGTGCAAAAAAACCCCGTTAAAACATCCCTAAGCGTGCCGCATCCTCTGCGCTTACCTGTCGCTCTCTCCAAAGCTCCAGTGTGCCAGTCTCTCTTCCTAGAAGAGCAGGAAGTCTCTTATATATGCCAGAAGGAGGAAGGTCCTGTGCTCAAAAACCTTCTCAGAAGCAATACTAAAAATTCCCCAGCCTGGATTACATCGTGTTGAGAAACACGCTTGGCTAAAGTTCTCTGTGGAGCTCAGCCTCGGTTCAAAGGCCACCCTGATGTTGACAAAGCAACAAAGATGATTAAGGGACTGGAAGCTAAAACATCTGAGGAACGGCTGCTGGAATTGGGGATGTCTAGTTTAATGAAGAGAGGGACGATTACGGTATATGTAATGGATTAAAAAGGTTGAGAAATAATGGATTGATTTAAGATTTAGAGTTGAAAACTTGTGATTATTAGAATATATATATATATGTTAAACAGAGTAAGAATGTACTTTTTAGAATAATATGTTTATTTGTATGAAAATTATTTTGTAATGGAATGAGAATAAGAATATGAAAGAGGTTTTTAGAAATTCGGATTGCTTTAACAACTAATTGAGTGTGTTAAGTTAGTAAGACGATGTTTTGTGTAATAATAGGTGTGTTCTTTTTTTTTTAGACATGATAATTATTTGAATGAGATTTAAATGCTGTCTGAAGAAATAAGAGAGATTTGTGATCAAATCAATGATTTATGAGATTATGATTTAGAATATATCTGGATTAGTATTTTAGGAGGGATATCCAAAGTGAGAATACGTTTATCTAAGATTAAATTGGACTATGGTAACTGTAAATTAATAAAGTTCAAAACGGGATTAGGATTTATAGATATGTAATGTAGAAATGGATTATGTTAAATAGGTTATATTATCTGAGGGAAATAGAGAGGGAACATTTAATGTATTTACCTGAGCTATTACATAATTTTGTTTTGGGATGATTGATCACTTCACCACCGCGGTGTGTCTTCAGCATTCTGTTGTAAAAGTTAAAAAAACCAATAAAACTTGTTATAAAAAAAAAAAGAGAGAGAGGGACGGGGGGGTGACAAATGGCTGTCCAATGTTAAAAACGTCCAGTGTTGGAGCATTTACAACTTCTGTTGGCAAGTGGTTCCACTGGTTAATTGTTCTAACTGTCAGGAAGTTTCTCCTTAGTTCTAGGTCAGTGGTGGCGAACTTATGGCACACGTGCCAGAGGTGGCACTCGGAGCCCTTTCTGTGGGCACATGCGCCGTCGCCCCAGCCCCACCTCCCCCACGACCCCCTCCTCACCAGCCTCCCCCTGGAGGAGAGTCACCCCCGGGCGCGGCACGCACGGAGCAGCGCAGCCAAGGACATAGCCGGGCAGCAGGGGCAAGACTCCGCCCTCGTGTCCCATAGCATGCAGATGATGCTGCGGGGTGTGGGCAGAGGGCATGGCTGCTATGGCGCTGCAGGACTGCCTGGGCAATCTGCTGCAGCAGGCCATTGATGCGGTGCATGGCCCTGCAGGTGGGCGGGGCAGGTGGCAGGTGGGGGCAGAGCAGGCAGGGTGGGAGGCGGAGCGGGGGTGGGGGGCGGGTTTTGGGCACTCGGTCTCCAAAAGGTTCACCATCACTGTTCTAGGTTGCTTCTCTCCTTGATTAGTTTCCATCCATTCATGTCCTGCCTTCAGTTGCTTTGGAGAACAGCTTGACTGCCTCTTCTTTGGGGCAGCCCCTGAGATACTGGAAGATGGCTATCCTGTCCCCCCCTATTATTACACAAAACATCGTCTTACTAACTTAACACACTCAATTAGTTGTTAAAGCAATCTGAATTTCTAAAAACCTCTTTCATATTCTTATTCTCATTCCATTACAAAATAATTTTCATACAAATAAACATATTATTCCAAAAATACATTCTTAATCTGTTTAACATATATATTCTAATAACCACAAATTTTCAACTCTAAATCTTAGTCCTTAAATCAATCCATATTTCTCAAAACCTTTTTAATCCATTACACATAATTTTAAATTTCTTTTTTTAGTCTTATTCTGACTTTCTTTTTATGCCAAGCAGGTTTCCATAACAAAGCCTCTATTTCAGCAAATAGATCTCCCATTATTGCTTGTTATGTCATTTGGGTCAGTAAAAGACCTCCCATCCTCTGTTTTTGACGCCTGGCTCCTGCCTGCTGGATAAAACACTGGATCATGTCCAATTTTATAATTAGTAGTTGAGTATCAAAGTTGTCATAATTCTCCAACAGTTGTAATTTCAAGTCCATTTCTGTTAGTTTTGCAATTGTAGATAGTTTAGTTACAATCATTTTTTGGTCATCCCAAGTCTCCATAGGTTGTATGTAAATTAATTCCTCTTCTATTGCTTTTTGGTCTGTAGAATGATCAAATAGAGTCTGAAGGTCAGTTTGTAAGTTCACAGTAGAATTTCTGTTTATTATTTCTGCAATACTCTCTCGTATTTGGGAACATATTTCCTCAGTAGCTTCATAAATTTTTTCCAGTATGAGTTTACAGTTGAGTTGTAAACATGGTTTCTCCATTTCAGTAGTAACTAAATCCAATCCTGTTATCTTTTAGTGGAGGCTATATTCCAAAACATTTAGTCAGTATCCACCCCCACCAATAACAGCTGTTGGACCAAAAAGAACAAAAAACAGTTGCAGTTTTAAATTTCTCCACAAGATGTCCTCAATAAATTATGAAAGTCTCTTCCAGACACCAAGAATGAGATTAGCAAAGTCAAAGAACTGTGGAATCTCTTTTCCGGCTTCTCATAGAGTTGTTGTTTTTTCCCCCCAAACAATAAAGATTTATCCCTTTAAAAAAAAAAGTCCAGGACATAGGAAAACAATATTCTCCAGCTTAGAAGATATAATAATAAAGTTTTATGCTAAGGATTTTTCCAGGGCCCCCAAGTAACCCAAAATAAAAATAGTCAATAAGAAGTTTTTTCCTTTGTTATGGAAAACTCTTTTCCCCAGATAAACAAAGGCAGCTCTTTCAAAGCAGGGAAGTAATTCCAAAAGGCTTTTAACAGGAGAGTAGTTAGGCAAAGAGAGAGAGGGAAAAGTCTCCCCGGGATCATCCATAATGGTTTCTTAACGCTTAGATGTTCTTTTGAATTTCGGCTGGAGCAGCTAAATGATCAGCCATGTTACTGGCCGATCTTTTCTCCGTTGGCCCTGAGGAGCTGCCTCGGACCGCGGAAGGAACTTTCTCCTCTCCCCACGATCGACGAGAGTCCTCCTCATCGGTAGTCACCCTTCCAGGGTGACTTTTCGACCCGATTAAGGGTCTACCGGCAGAGGAAAAGCAGGCAATGAAGAGAGAAGTCTCTTCGTCTGCCTGCACCCACTGCAATCCAAAACCGGAAGTCGGGTATACATATTAAATCTTAATCATTAGTCTAATATTAAACAGCTTACAATAACTAATTTTATCTATAATCATGTAAATAACAAGTTGGTCAATATATCCGATTCATTTTATTAAATAACAATACTTAATATGATATTGCTAATATATTACTAATTAGTTGTAATCACTTTAAAATATTAATATATTACTTATTAACTATAATTTACTTATTAAAATATATACTGCGCATGCCTGAAGATGGCGGTCGCCCGTTTCGTAGCTCCGCTGTAGTGGAGCCGAAAATGGGCAGAGGGGGGCCTTGGAGACTCCCGAGGATTCGGAGACCCGTCTGGAGACCAGTCCCCAGGTTGACCTCTCCCCGGTGAGTCTCCGGGAATGCGAGGGGACGTAAGAACGTGGAGCCGACCGGGCAGCCGTTTGTCGGCCTGCTCGGCCTTTTCGTCCTTCGGCGGTCTCGGC